ATTTACTACAGTTATATATATATATATACATAATTATTTATTTAAAAAAAAAAATTTATGACATAAATATGTTATAAAATCACTACAAAAATAGCCATTTTGTTTCAACACCCCCGGTGTCTTATCAAGTGATGATTAACTTTTAAAACCATTTATTTTACAAATGTTGTCAAGCTTTTTGAATTTTCCTATACTTGTATTTTGATTGGTCAATCTAGATTTTGTAACAACGTTTTCCCCTTGTGAAGGATTGTTAATTAATTTGAAAATTTTAAAACCATTTATTTTACAATTCAACATCATCACTTGATAAGACACCGGGGGTGTTGAAACAAAATGGCTATTTTTGTAGTGATTTTATAACATATTTATGTTATAGATTTTTTTTTTAAATAAATGATTATATCTGCTCTACTTTGTATTGAGCACTCTTTTAAGAATAGTAATTGTTGGTTATTGAATTCATTCCGTATACACCAATCATATACTTGGGTATATATATATATATATATATATATATATATATATATATATATATATATATATATTATATATATATATATATATATATATATATATATATAAAAAAAGTGGCTGCTGCTGCTATGAATGCATTACTCTTCAAGTACGAATTGAGTTCGCTTAGCGTATTTTTTTTATAGAGAAACGCTAAAATTTTCCCCTTTTCTGCCGTGTGCAGACTGCGATCCCAGCTTGAAGCAATTGGAAGTCTACCCACACTGAAGAGCTGTGATACAGCGAAACAGTCTCTCTGTGAATGAATATATATATATATATATATATATATATATATATATATATATATATATATAAACGGCTCAAAAAAAGAACCGAACAGCCTGATTATACGCACATATTTCATTATAGCGATTAAAGACCGTGCAGAGCAAACCACACTCTTTAAAGGAAAAAATTGTACAGCGCGCGATGGATAAATTGTTGTCTAAAAAATAAAAATAATCCCTGGCATCTCATTTTAACAGGTATATCTGCCAAAATTACACAAAAATATCTTGACATACTGAAGAGTAAATGTATTCCATAAAATCGCCATCCAAATGACTTCGGAATCACCTGCATCTCTCCTGGACGGCGCCCCTTTGATGTTGTTGAATGCTGCCATAATCCTTGCCTTCAGTTCATCTTTGGTGTTACAAGGAGTTCTGTTGGTCTCTCAATCAACTGCAACCCACAAGTAATAATCAAGGCGGGGTGTGAGTTAGGTTGCCAGATGTAAGGCATGATGTGGTAGCAGAAATTGTCTGACAGCATTTACTGTGGCATGATGCAATCCAGTTTCCAGACATGGTGTCTTTCAGCAGCCAGCATTTTGACCCAGGGCATCACTACCTCCTCAAGGCACTTGATGTAGGCATCCCTGTAGATAGACAGATGGGAACAGAACTAGATATATAGATAGATAGATAGATAGATAGATATGAACAGGCTCAGATAGATAGATAGATAGATATAAACAGATGGAGATAGATAGATATGAATAGACTGACATAGATAGATATAGATAGATAGATAGATAGATAGATAGATAGATAGATAGATAGATGAACAACCCTCGATATGAAGAGACTGAGGTAAGCTGAGATAGGAATATCTGAGATATGAAGAGATAGGAACAGAAGGGGATAGATAGATAGATAGATATGAATAGACTGCGATAGATAGATAGATAGATAGATAGATAGATATAGAAGAATCTTTAATTGGTGAATGCTTTTATAATCCTTACCTTCACAGTTCATGCGCGATTAAAGGAGAAAACAATTGACTACATGTTATGGCCCGGTTCCTTGTACCACTGTGATAGTCCAATTTAGAACCAATAAAGAAGAACTCGAACACAGGTATGGAATAACACGGATATATTACAAACAGGAATATATACAGAGAAGTAGAAGTGTTAGTCTGAACAATCAGGTTTACTAGAGAGAACAATGTAGTCTCGACCGGTATCACTATTCCAATGTCTTGTAGTAATTGTCTGAAACGCGACTCTGTTTCGGACTGCCTCTGACTCGACTCTTGACTCGACTTGAACTACTGACTTCTTGCCTACTCCTGAGGCGCAGTAGTTATTAAGTATGGAATAGTCCATTATTATTATTATGGCTAAGATCCCATAACACTACGGCGTAAATATCTCGAGAGTGCTTTGATCGAAAGGTCATCTACAGTAAATATGCGTCCGGGCTCTTAGAACATTTCACCATTCCTGGCAGGATTTCTATTATATCGAATAAAAAAAGCGATGGAAACAAAAAGAAAAAGAACCTAAAAAAAAATAACATTCAAAATTCTCAGCACCCCTCGTTCGTCTGCATGCGTAGTTGCACCAACATAACAAATTTAGTCTGATGATGACCTAAAGGTCGAAACGTGTCACAAGAAAATTTTTTTCGACTTTTGCAGTACATTTTCCCCAATATTGTTCTTGATATATAACTATATAGTGATTTTCCAAGCGTAGCTTAGATGTGGCGCAAGGCCGAAATTAGGGAGCACCCAATGAGGATCGAACTCACTAATCAGGTGTAATTGTTCTGGCGAGACAAGCTTGCTAAGCATTACACGGCCTGGGGTTGCCCTTGATGTTACACGCGTAGCTTAGATGTGGCACAGGGCCGAAAGTAGGAGGCATACAGTAAGGATCGAACTCACTACTCAGTCGTAATTGTTCTAGCGAGAGAAGCTTGCTAGCCATTACACCATCTCGAGGTGCCCTGATATCATTATCTCACACACACACACAAATATATATATATATATATATATATATATATATATATATATATATATATATATATATATATATATATATATATATATATATATATATATATATAGGCTGTCTTTTGAGGTCAGAATGCAAAAAAGATAAGCTGAGAAGTTGTAAACAGGGTTTTAATTATGGCGGTTGTTCATTAGGAACAGTCGTGTAATTAGGCTAAATGGCGCGAAAATTGTTGTTTGTCGCACGGACACTTTCTTTATTTGTCAGAATTCTCGTATGCGCCACATGAACGCTGACTGAATATCAGAGTAAACAAAATTTTGCATCAAATGAATAGAAAAGAAAGGACAAATAATGCCACTCTGCCAATCAATGAAGAAATTCTGTTGCTTTATAACAGGGGTTCCCAACCATTTATGTGTCATCGTCATTTTCAGATGGAAAAATTTTCCACCGCCGACCTATATGGTAAATATTCAAAAGCATAACAAAATATTTTCGTAAAAGTTTGTTACTGGTTCATAAACTGATTTTATGATGCAGTACAAAATACCAAAGGGAGGTAACTAATTTCGTTGATTTTGTTAAGCAGCATATCAATCCCTTATTTCATGCAGAAATCTAAATATTTTAAACGTAATTTTATGCCTTTAACTACAGGTAAAACATATTGTTGGTTATTTTACATATAAATATGTATTTTTGGTTATTTTACTATAAAACTATTGGTTACTATTGGTTGGTTGATTTCGTTTAGTAGCATATCAACCTCTAATGCCGAAATCTAGATATTTTGAACGCAGTTGTCTGCCTTTTACTACAGATAAAATACATTGTTAGTCATTTTACTATAAATATGTATTTTGGGTTATTTTACTATAAATAGTTACTGTTAGTTGGTTGATTTTATTTCGCGGTAGCTCAACCTTTATGGGTGATTTAATTCAGAAATCTAAATATTTTGAACAATTTTATCGCTTCAACTAAATATATTTTGACCATAATTGTATGTTTTCAACTCAAGATAAAATGTATTGTTGGTAATTTTTTTTATATAAAAATAAATTACTGGTATTTTTACAATAAAAAAATGCATTTTTCTACTTTCATAGTGGTTTCTTTTTGGTTTGGAGTTATTTATTTTCCATAGCTGGGACCCTAACAGGTGCTACCACCCGCGGCTTTGAGCAGAGAACATAAACAATTGAGAGGTGGTTCCACAAACCTCAAAATGTCCTGATCAGAAACCTTGCTGCTGGATGTAGTTTATCATCATACCCAGGACTGGGAGGCAACAAATAACGCCGACTGCTGCTACCGTATTAACAAACAAACGAAAGTAAACTTGACCATTGAAAACTATATACCTATAATTTAGTTTTATAATCAAGGTTAGTTTTAGGGTTAGGCTTAATGCCACAAGTGTTGACAAAGAAATAAACGATTTTTGTTTATAATTATAAAATAAAAAATAACATACACTACTAGCAACTAATAAAAATTAAGCAGATATTCTTTTGCTGTTCTTGGTCTTCCCCCTTCGGTTTATATCTGAAAAAAAAATCTCTGGTACCACTTTTTATAAATAAAACGTTTCCTCGCAGGGCACAGTATCTTAAGGTGCATAAATTCTTTAATAAGGACACACTGCGACAAGAGCAATAATAATAATAATAATAATAAATGTAAATATCTGATACATTCTTATCGGTGTTGTCTCTATCCGTATTACCCAGGAACTCTTAAGCCTTTTGGCGTCAGCGCCCACATTTACTTGTAAAAAAATTCCATGGCCCAACTGTATAGTACATATTGAAAACATACTAAAATTGTTTGATAAAAGTTTGTTACTGGTTCGTAAACTAACTTTATGATGTAGTAAAAATACAAAAGTGTTATATAGGAATAAAGTGTCGCTGTCTACACTTGGGTTTGAACACGGATAAACGATTTTTTGTTCATAATTATAAATTTCAAAAGAACATACACTACTAGCAACTAATAAGAATTCGGCATTTTATATAATCTATTATAACTCGATCAGCCGGCCAAGTATAGATATGTTTTAATATACAGCAGTCAGTGGAGAGTAAAAGATTTGAGATTTCCAGAAACGTAAGGAGATGTATGATGTATTTAGAAAGGAACCTGCATTATGAAGCACAACAAAATTCAAATTAAAAATAATTTAAAAATATATCTCATTGACATTGTCTGTTAAAAAAAGCAACTGATAGAAGAAGGTCTGAGTGCAGAATCGCTGAAACATCGTAAAATGATTAAGCAAACAGGGGAAGATATGATAATCGGTATCACTTTTTTTAAAAATGCACAAAATTAAATGAAAATAGACTAAGAGAACGTTGCAAAAAAACGAAAGGCACTGAAGAGTATGAAGGTGAGATTCGAACCCGGGTGTTACGATCGGCAAGCCAAAAAGTTCTATCAACTCGGCCACAATGACAGATACTGAAAAAAAAAAAAAAAAAAAAAAACGCCCTCTACTCTGTATTCAGTGTCTCTCCATTAAAATATACCGCTTATTGAGCATTAAAAATAAACTCAATAATCTGCACTTGACGACCCCTAATAGTGAAGTTTTATTGGACGACTGGGAAATGGCGGCAAAACAACAAAGATGGCGATTGGTCTCGTGGATCAGGCGATTTGTTTCTATAAAATTTAATTAGCAAAAACCGTTGACCTCTTGAACTTCTGCTGAGTGGTGGTCAAGTGAGGTGTTCCTGTTTACAGGCACCGACATGTGTTTGTTTTTTGTCACTGACCCGACCCCTCAAGATGGGGCGGCAACAGTTCAGAGAAGGGTGGATGGCGACGTAGAAAGCGGTCGATCGGAAGAAATGAAGTGGTTAATAGTTTAAGAATAGAAAATAAACAACAAATAGCGAAGCGTTTTACTCTTAAGATATTAGCTGCGAAAAAAAAAATGAAACAAAGAAAGGATTCGAAAAGAAATTCAAACAACTAGTTCTTTCAGCTCAGCTTCACTTTTTATAATTTTGTTCACCAATTACAAGGCCCAAGAGCCATTCAAGGCAGAGGATTACGAAATGAGGTGGTTGTAATGACGGAGAGAGCTATTGGCAAAAAGGTTTATGGGCATTATTCGATATTGTCGTCAGCTTTATCTCGTATCCAAAAATTTAATTTCTTCTTTGCTCATCGCTTCCTTTTATTTGATGATGGCGTTGATGACTAAATTTGCCGCCAACGCCCAAGTTCAGGACTAGAAGCTTCCAGTTTCGCCCAAATCTGTTCCCGTCATCCATTCAGTATCGGCGTTTAGCTTTGCAAGAGTTGGTTGGAGGTGAAAGAAAATCAGAGCAGAAGAAATTGCCGATGACGTAAATTTGTTTAAGGTGGAACACAACTTGTCAGGAAGTCACCCACACATTCATTTGATGACCTTCGTCTGCGTCACATATGGAATGAGACATGCAGAATTAAGTTATGAAACTGAAACGGACTGCCGTTGACTGTTATAATTTCGAGTGGCGCCTTCTATAGTATGTCCTTCGTGCGTAGTCCTCTTCACCCGCTGGCTCAAACGTTTAGATCTGTTGTAATGATCATCCACTTGTTCCACCGTTGGCGTCTTTGATGTTGGCCGCGCTTTGTTTGGGTTCTCGACTTCGACATTGCCGCAAAGGGTGTCCCTCCCGGAGTTTATATCCGTGATATAACATTGTATTTCATGGACGGAATAGAATAGCTGAAAGAAAAAAGAAATGACAAGCATGACGAGTTTTATAATGCTAAGTCATACACAACATTATATATACACGTATTTATTTGTCCCACATAGAGAAATCATAACATGTATGCAACAACAAACAGTGTGTAAAAGAAAAAAAGGCAGCCTTACTTGTAAGGGAAAAATGGAGTTACTGCAGGTTCTCTATCAACCTGGGGAGGTCACGTGAATTTTGCAGTAAGGCAGGAAGCTAGGAACGACCTTCTTCTCCGGGTTTTAAATTCTTCTTCGTCATATTATCCCCTGGCCTAACTCACCGGCTGTCACATAAACCTCATATCTTTATCTCAACGAAAGGAAGATAATTGCCTTCTGTATCTCTACAGCGTAAGGAGAGAAAAATAAAAAGTGTCTATCATGAGGATATGTAGGATAGATAAGGGTTGTCTCTAGACATGAAAATTTTAAGATCGGAGTAATCGAATTTTTTTCGGTGGTTTCGTTTTCTACGGCTTATTAACGCTTTGCAGGTTATTTAAAGCCAGAAAATATTTTTTAGATTGTGATTATTTTTCAGATAATAATGATTTAGTGATTACAAACATTACTAATAATTCCATAGCTGAGTGGAGAAGAGGTGGACTCATAACTTTCCCAAGGGTATTTGTGCGTATGCGAATATAAAGATCCCGACGAGAACTGGAACTCGGCTCTCCGATTATCATTTCCGATCTATTATTCATCACACCACCCGCACATCCCAGCTTACAATAACTGATATTCCCAAATAGTCACCCATCTAGGTACTGACCAGGCCCGACGTTGCTTTACTTCGGTAGTCGTACGAGAACTGGTGTTTCAACGTGATATTGCCGTAAGCCATAACAACCGTATACCCAAGCTTACCACACCTGATATTCCTAAGTGGTCACTCATGTAGGTACTAACCAGGGTCGACGCAGCTTAACTTCGGTGATCGTGCAGGAACCGATGTTTCATCGTTATATGGCCGTAAGCAAGACCAACCTTACATCCAAACTTACAGCACCTGGTATTCTTAAGTGGTTACTCATCTAGCTACTGACCTGGTCCGACGTTGCTTAACCGGTGTGTTACGGTTTTTTGGGTATATACTATACATAACTAGTGAGCGAGTCAAAATGACTTATTTCCCTTTATAGTCGACCAATAGAAGGTTGACCAATCAGAAGCCGCACAGCACTGTATCCGTCGTGTATAAAGGCGGCCATCTTTGTTTTCCTACCAACCTGACCAGAGGCAACTTGTCCGGCGAACAGGACAGACGGAAGAACTACGCTCTGCTACCTTGCTGCGATATCCACTGCGAACCTGCACTACGCTTTCCTACTGTCTCCGAAATATTCACTGCCAACCTCTGGATTCTATAGTCGAGGACGACCGTCATGAAAATGTCTAACACGGTGATCGTACGAGAACGGGTGTTTCAACTTGATGTGCCCGTAAGCCATGCCAACTGCACATCCAAGCTTACAGCAACTCGTATTCCCAAGCGTGTAGGCATCTAGATACTGACCAGTCTCTGTGTTGCTTTACTTCGGTGGTCGTACGAGAAGCGGTGTTTGAACGTGATATGACCGTAAGCCTGTAGTGGTCGGGGAATTTTTGTTCCATAACGTAAGTTGGAAGAAGCTGTCTGTGTGGAATGTCTTTCTTACTAACAGAGCACGAACGGAATGAGGCTGAATCGACTCTTTGTACATGGCATGGCGGGTCCTAATTGTGAAGGTCAGAACTGATGGTCTAGGTTTCTCCCTTGTCCGAACATTCACCCTGGAAATAGCGATAGAGTAGCGAGCGTCTAGCAGTGTTTCGTCAGTTAGAAAGAGGTTGTCGAGAGTAAAACCATTGAAGACCTTTTTTGTTTGAAGTTAAATGAATTTACAGCTTTTCAGTAAGCATATGTTTGAAGGACTGACAAATGATTAACTTTATTTAACAAATAATATGAATATTTTCTAAATTTTGTAGTCATTACTGCTCCTTTTTGACAAGTTAAAAACTGCACAATTTCACATAATCTTCCAAAATTAGATACATGTAAGAGAAAATATATTCATATTGCAGAAAAAATAACTAAATGTCAATGCTTTAGGCACGGACCTCTATTTATTGTAAGTTCAGGATGTTTCTTTTTTACCTGTTTTGTCCTACTTTTAAATTACATTTCTGTCTCTGATTTTACATAACGTAAATATGGATATTTTTTATTCATATACTGTTTTGATAGAGATATAATAAAAAAATAACAAGATAACCAAAATTTCTTATAAAAATGAATGTTAACGAAAATCGCCAGGCAAACAAAGCCATAGTTCGTCCAACCAAACAGACAGCTTTTACAACAAGGATGTAAGAAAAGAAATAATAACAAGGAGACCAAAATGTCCTCATCTTTAAAAATATATAGTTCAACCAACCAATCCGAAAGCTTCGACCAGGTACTTTAAGCTTGGATGCGCAGGTGGTGGTGTAATGGGTAATGGCTTGGAGTCGTTAATCGGAAAGCCGAGTTTCAATTTCAGTTGGATTCGTTATATTCACTTACGAACAAATAACCTTAGGAAAGGTATGAATCTGTTTCTACCCCCAGCTATAGATTAAATAGTAAACCTTGTATGGCTAAATCGTTATTATCTGAAACAAAAAAAAATCATTACATTTAAAAAAATACCTTTGTTGATTTAATAATCTGCAAATGGTTAATAAACCGTAGAAAACGAATCAATAAAAGAAAGTGAAGCAGGAAAGAATTTATAAAAAAAAAGTATAGCTAAAAGAAAAAGAGAAAGGAAATTTATGATTAAAGGAATTATGGGATAGTAAAAGAAAGCGTGAAAAAAGGACTATACCTCAACTGCAAGAGGACAGTATGGTCATCAGTAAGAGAAAAAACCCGAGATTCGAGTTACAAATTAGCATCAGTTCAAATATCTGGAATGAAAAATACGACACTGGAAACCGAACACACATTGGACGAGCGAAAGATGCCTTCCAAAAACTAAAAGTGCTGAGAATTTACTTAAATTATTTACATTATTTTCCTACAGTCATCCTCGTCTTCATTGCCATATATCACAACGTTTCGGCCGTTGTACGCTCCGACTTTCTTCAGGTGATTGGAAGGCCGGAGCTTACAACGGCCAAAACGTTGTGAATATGACAAGGAAGATGAAGATAACAGTCTGAGAAGCAAACAAAATTCGTCAGGAATAAAGAAAAGAGTGATGGACTCCTATGCGATATTCACTTTTTTATATGGCTGTGAATGCTGGACATTCCCCGCCACCACGGATGAAAAGAAAACTGGAGAAAACAGAAATGTAGTCCTGCAGTAGGATACTGAGAATTCTACGAGCAACGAGGGAGTATGAAAGAAAACGCCAATAAAAGGAACACATACCCAGAATCTTAAATAAAGAACTGAACTTCCGTGGACACATAATGAGGAAAGAAGGCTTGGAAAACTTGACCCTCACGAGGAATATTGAAGGAAACGGAGATGGGGAAGGCAGCGAGTCAACTACTTTACTTGGCACAGGAGTTAACTTTTATCCGGACGTGGAATAAATGTTTCTGCTCATTTTAAATAGGAGACGGCAGCCAATACCAAAGGATTCCAACCTTAAGAGAGGTCGGGTCGGTGTAATATCGCAAACAGTTTTTGTCCTTGGCCCATATGCATACGTATATGTTTAGCGCTCCCCACGTAAGCATGACCTTGTGTCACATCCTGCCTTGTCGGGGAGGTTAGGTAAACATACCTACTTGACGAGCTTGTGTCATTACGTGGTGGAAAGTGGGGATTATGGAGATTAATAGAAGGGAGAAAAACTGCCACATATGATAGGAAGTTGTGGAGAGCTATGATCGCCCATGTCCTAAAGGGACGCGGCACAAAGAAAACGATCACAACGTAATTAAAATATCAGCAGCAGTCGTAGCAGTCGTTGTGATATTGACAACAGCATCGAACACACGAACACAAGAGAGTTCGTTTTGTCTGTGTGTTCGTGTTTTAAAATCATTCTATTTCTACAAGTTAATTTTTTTTCTCTTTTCTGTCACAGAAAAGAGAGAAAAAAATTAACTTTCATATAATAAATTTGATTCCACTGAAATCAAAATTTTGGATTATTAAGATACGTGAGTATCGTAGATTTTTCAAGATCTTTTCAAATACTTTTTACCGAGTATTAACCTTTATGGGAAAATATTTGACATTCCATGAACGAACGTTTAGTGTTACTGTTAGTTGAAAATTATAAAATTAAAACATTTTTTTATTCTTCAGGAAAATAAGTTTCTCGATTCCACTGGAGTGACAATTTGGGAATTAAGTAGGAGCTTACTCCGACAGTAGCACCGAAAATTCTTCGAAGTGCCTGGAGCTGGTTAGAGGTCGATAATATAATTAGTCAGTAGGATATCTCCTATTCATTTTCTACTATACGATGGTATTTACCAACTTTTGGATTATGAAATATGTTAAAAAACATTAAAGAACCATATTAAACAGTTTGTAGTGTAAAATTTATTAAATCATTAACACCTTCTTATACAAAAAGGCAATGAACAATGAATTGGTTATGTATTAAAATCATTAACAATTTTTTATGAATACAAATAAGATCAATACGCCACTCTTTAGGGTAAAATGATACTGTATGTAATTTGAGGAATTAATTGCTGTAGGCGGTAAACGGGTTGTTTGTTAGGGTGCATCGCAAATGCCTCGGTTGATATCAGATTATAATAGCACCGAAAATTCTTTGAAATGTCTGGAACTGGTTAGAGGTCGATGATTTAATTAGCGAATTGGCTATCTACAATTCATTTTCCACTATGCTATATTTACAAACTGTTGAAAACATGAAATATTTTAAAAACATTAAAGAACCATATTAAACAGTTTGTAGTGTAAAATTTATTAAATCATTAACAACTTATTATACAAAAAGGCAGTGAACAATGAATTGGTTATGTATTTAAAATCATTAACAATTTTTATGAGTACAAATCAGATAAATACGCCACTTTTTAGTTTAAAATGACACTGTATGTAGTTTGAGGAATTAATTACTGTTGCCTGTAAGTGGGTTGTTTGGTAGAGTGCATCGCCATTTACGGTAGGTCGCAAATATCTCGGTAGATATCATACTTTAACAGCACCTTTATGTTTGGTCTACATGGAACCATTGTAGTAATTTTTTGAACCACGCTTATTATACACAAGAATTTACATGGCAGGAGCCGTAAAAATATTATTCAATAAAAGAATATTTTTCACCAAATCCAAGCAAAAGCACTGGGATCTGAAATACACAAACAGAAATCAAAACTTTAGGAAAGTATAAAAATACATTTTTATAGGAGCACCGAATTAATTGCTGTAGGCCGTAAATGGGTTGTTTAGGTAGAGTGCATTGTTATTTACGGTAGGTCGCAAATGCCTTGGTTGATATCAGATTATAATAGCACCGAAAATTCTTTGAAATGTCTGGAGCTGGTTAGAGGTCGATGGTTTAATTAGCGAGTACGATATCTACAAGTCATTTTCTACTATGCTATGATATTTACCAACTTTTGGAAGTATGGATTATGTTAAAAAAAACATTAAAGAATCATAATAAACAGTTTGTAGTGTAAAATTTATTAAATCATTAACACCTTATTATACAAAAAGGCAACGAACAATGAATTGGTTATGTATTAAAAAGCATTAACAATTTTTTATGAATACAAATTAGATAAATACGCCACTCTTTAGTCTCTAAAATGACATTGAATGTAGTTTGAGGAATTAATTACTGTTGCCTGTAAGTGGGTTGTTTTGGTAGAGTGCATCGTCATTTATGATAGGTCGCAAATGCCACGGTAGATATAACACCGAAAATTCTTTGAAATGTTTGGAGCTGGTTAGAAGTCGATGATTTAATTAGCGAGTAGGATATCTAGAATTCATTTTCTATAATG